TGTGGAAATGGGGGAGTATGTTAATGACGACATCAACAGGTTTTGGTGCAAAACTGAATTTGTTATATAAAATTACAAGAGAATGCTCAATAGTTATGTTGCTTGATAAAAACAGTGTACCAAGCTTCCTTTATCTCAGAAAGTTTTTAAGGAGAATATTAATTATGCTAATTATGCAATTGGCCTTTTTTGCAGCTATATCAACCTGCAGCCCACAACTGGCAGCCCACTGAAGCTCAGCAGGTCTGAGCCTGGTCAGTACCTGGATGGGAGACCTCCTGGGAAAAACTGTGGTTGCTGCTGGAAGAGGTTAAGTGGACCAGTAGGGAGAGCTCACTCTGCAGTCTGTGTGGGTCCTAATGTCCCAGTATGGTGACGGGGACACTATACTGTATAAAAGGTGCTGTCTTTCAGATGAGATGTCTCGACTCTCCATGGTCTTTAAAAATCCCAGGGCGTTTCTCAAAAAAAGTAGTAGGGGCATTAACCCCAGTGTCCTGAAGAAATGGCCTTTACCAACCATGACCTCCTAATAATCCCTAATAATGTTGCTCTCAATTGCCTGTAAAACACTTTGAGTGGAGTGTCCAGAAAGCACTATATAAGTAAGTGTAAGGATTATTGTATTTAAATTATAATTTAAGTACTGTGTGAAGTCCTGCATTGGCATTGGCAATAAGTGCTCCAATTCCCTAATCCAGTCATGTTGGCTGCTCTTTAGCTTTAAAGGAAAAAGCAGTAGTTTTACTCTACAGTACTTAAAAATCCACTCCAGAGAATGTGTATCCATTGTAATTCTCCTGAAACACAAAAAAACCTTGGCTACCCCCCCCCCCAAAAAAAAAAATCAGATATACTGTAATTTGTGGCTTTTTAGAAAGCACAGCAGAGCATTTTGTGACTGCCTTTCCCCTCTACGTTGTTGCTCCTAGATTTCTTTCAGTGTCCTCATGATAAAATGCCTTCCCAGAACAAAAGTAGCTATTAAACCGGGCCTTAGTTCTAAATATCTGCCAGTCCCAGTATTTATTCTTATTTTTATAGTACCAAAACTGTATTTACGTCAGGTAAACCTAAGCTGTTAGGTAACGATGCTCTAAAAAAGTCTCAAACTGGAGCAGTAATTTAGAAATGATAACACAGCTGAATAAGACTGTGACAACATGTATATCAAATAGATCATAGGGTAATAAACCACAAGGTGTGTTTTGAACAATGAAACAATTATATTCCGAGCACATTATATTTAACAAAATTCAATTTACGCTCTTCAATACTAATTGATGATGCTCAGAACATTTTGAAGGTTGTATTGAAGTTCTTCTCTTCTTGAATAAAAACCAGTGTGTACAGTTCAAAGTCCACAATGCTGGAGAAATTCTACATTGTGCTGCCAGTTCCTGTGGCATACAAACTCGTGTTTTTCCAACAGGGGCATCCGAGATGTTTTATGCTCTCCCACAGGCTGTTTAATAATACCACTGACTCAAGGTCTCATCCAAATAACACAGAGGGTACAATGACTCTCTAAATCATATTTTACGAAACAAAGTTAAAATTCCCGGAGCCTAATTTCTAATGTGCTTAAGAATTCTTAAAGTGCTTATTAAAGCACTTCAGCTGCTCCTGCCGAATGTATGAGAATGACCATTAGTTTGTAAATTCCCTACACTGAAAACACATTCAAGTATTGTTATCAGCACGGTTATCTGGGTGTGGATTTTTCACATTTTCTGTACCACATGTGCATACAGTATGTCATTGTGTTGTACTGTTCATGTATGGAAATCCTATCCAACTCTTCATCCCATCACTGCTGGTATTGAACATTTAATTACTATGCTATATTACACAAGAAGCTGATTAAGACAGTTTCTGCTCAATGTACTCTTTGCAAAAAATCTGTCTTCACTTAGAAAGTCTAAAAATATGAGAGTGAGATATGTAGCCTTCATACTCTTTAAAACAACAGCCCAGGGCAGGGATGAGGTTAAGATAACAGCAGTCTTCTCAGGAATTCTGGGAGCCTTGAATCCAAATACAGTATGTCTCCTGCAGGACAATAAATATCATCTTCTATATGAGGTGGTGCAACCACAGTATACCAGGAAATGTTCCCAGGAACTCAGCTATGTCCCCGATTAGTTTTCAAGACAATTTCTTCTGCCTCTTCGTCAAAACAGCACTGTGGAGTAGACTCTTCTCTACAGAGACAGCCCTGAAAGCAAAGATTGTATGCAAACAGTGAAACCTGTACCCACTCAGTACTTACTCACTCTGTTCTACAGGACAAACACAAGAGCACAGTAAAAGAAGACCACTTCCTCCCTAGGGTAATACACAGCTCTCCCTCTTGAGAGAAACTCCATGCTCCACTTGACCACTGAGATTAATCAGTAATAGTGGAGATAGCTAATCTTGCTGTGCAAACATCTAATGTTGGCATTGTGCACTCAAAGACCACTTTATTGTCGCAGGTAGTTAGAGATTAACCCAGATGCTTAAATACTAACCTTTCAAAATGTCCCAATAAGCATTCCTGAATGAGTTCAACTAAATATTGTACAGTACAGAACCTGTTTGTCAAGATGTTTCCCATTCGTGATCCTGTCATTTATCCCACTGTTCAGTTATGATTTACTTCTTAGAATAATTGGGAATGTAACAAAAAACTCCCTATAGCACATTGTTCAAGTTTATAATGTAACACAAAATAGAAAACTATAACATTTTTAAGTTAGTGTCAGTATGTGCACCCAAGTGAAGTCATTGGTGGAGATAATATTCATCATTTTGAACAAGGGATTGTATGAGACTAGTTCTCCAATATTTAGAAAATTAATATTATGGTGCAGAAGAAATGTCAAACAGCTTCATCCCAGAGCTACACTTTTTTACGATCCATGGATCCTATTAAAAATGACTGACAGGCTTAGCTGTTGTAAAGCAGGATTAGGCAACAGGGAAAATTAAGTTTCAAGAAAAATGTATGAGACGATAATGATTTTAAAAATCAAGGCATAAAAATAAAAACCTGTCGTCTTCTACTTCCAAAGTAGTGTGTAAACCGCATCTTTTGTGGAAGAGACACTTCAGTTTGCTAATTAAAACTGAAATAGATGAGTAAAAACTCGAGGTAATTAGGTATTTACTTCATAGAGAACAATCTGTTAATAACAAATGTTTCCACTTCTGCCATCCTTGGTGTAATTCATGGCATCAATCAAACAACAAGGCAAAGTGTATGCATTGACCACTGCAATGCTGCACTTAAGTGCACAGAGGGGAATCCTATCAAAGTCACTTTATGACCACTTCAGTCTTTTTATTTGAACTTTGAAATAAGCCCAGTTCTGCCTCTGCCCCATTCTCTGGACAAACTTCATACATGCCTTTATAGCAAGCAGGAGAACCCAAAGGACCTGAAGTCAACAACCCACAGTCATTTAAATAATGAAACCCAATTGGAAAGAGTTCCCAACACACTGAAAACAAACCTATATTTTCGGCCTTCAGACAGTAAAGTGGGCCCTTTTAAACACAACATGAAGCCACTGTCAGAAGTGCTAGTTTTGAAATACTATATGAGATATCACATCGTAACAAGAAGCTTTAAAATAATGGCAGAATGAATGGTAGTATAAAGACCCCACTCTCCTTTCTCTATTCAATACTACCCTTCAAACAGCCCATTCTCCATTTTCTATTGTATACATCTCTTAAGCCTAAACATAAACTAAATCATACCCAATAAGTACCATTCATTTGTAAAAATGTATTAATGCATATAAACTAAATAGTTCCCTTTAACCAATTAACAATATTGGGGCCTCTTAATGAGCTTGCATTTTGTCATAATCACCTACAGTAATCCACAGCTCAAGATAACATTGCAGTGATATTTACTACCTTAAAAACTGTAAATGCTTGTAGAGCAATCAGTTCATACATATATATGGGAATGTACTGTTTACTAGTGATGGTTTTATAAGAAATAATAGATGTAACAGATATAAAGAAAAGAAAAGATCTTCAGTACAGTAAAACATTAGAAGGTACATGAATCTCCTTCTCATGCAAAAGGGAACTCTGACCCACATGTTTGCCGAAGGAAATCTGCCTTGGAGCACTTTTCACATTTCCACATTAGTGCTGCTGAGGCTAGATGCAGTTTGAACAGGTCTACGTTTTTAGCATTATTATATGAAACATGGGGTGATATACAGGTTAAGGCACTAAAGGCACAGTCTTGCGAGTTGTAAAGTTAGTGTGAGTCCCCTAAACTACTTGTAGCTTAGAGGAAAGAGTGTTTAGAGGAAAAAACAATAATTTAAGCAAATCATGCTGCTGACCACATAAAGTGTTTTATACTTTGGGGTGTGTACACACAGGAGGGTGGATTAAGATTTCATCTCTTCCAAAAGATATTAGAAATCTGCGGAATGGGGACAGCTGGGCCCAGTAAGTCTTGTTTAGTCATTTTGTTCACTGACTCTAAACCACAGCTGCCATCAACAAAAACATTACCTGCACACCACTGGCAAGGCACACCAAGACAAGACATCAACACCTGACTCGACACTGCAGAGCGGTCAGAGGACTGAACATAACGGACTCGCATAAATAATTTGTAGCCCCTCTCCTCGTTAATCTGGCAAACAATGGGTTTATACATCCGAGTGCCTTTCAGAGGTTCATACAATCAAGAAAATGAGAGACTAAATATTTCTGCCTCCTAGAAAAGGAATGCTGCTCACTGGTCAAATGTTTGGATGGTTTTAGTCTTGAAGAAAATCCAGACCGATCCAAACAAATTGGATACAGAAAAGTTCAAAGGGTAACTAATTGCTAGCTCAGTTCTAACAGTTCGCTTTTACTTGAATAAATTCCTGAACGTCCTTACATTTCTCAGCGCCAGCACAAAAACTACGATATAAGAGACGGTAGAACACCCTGAACGTCTCCAGAGGCATGCCCACGCAGAATAACCAGAACCGTACCTCCAAAACAGGCCCTGCTCCCAGAATGATCTGCTCCACACCACTGGCAAATCCCTTCTGGCTGAGGGCGGTGAGGTGGTGGATGAGGAAGTTGGTGCTCTGCGTCTTGCCCGAGCCGCTCTCCCCGGAGATGACGATGCACTGGTTTCGGCGCCGCTGCAACATGGCGTGATACGCCACGTCCGCCACTGCATAGATGTGGGGCTCCAGCTTTCCCAGCTGGTGGTTGTCATACATTTTCACGTACTTGGGGTTATATATAGGCAGGAACTTGAACGGGTTGATGACGATGAGGATGCTTCCCACGTAGGTGTAGATCTTCTCCTGCTTGAAGCGGCTGCGCAGGTTGTCCAGGAGTGTCTTTTCGTTGAGGTCGGGCAGGTTGCAGAGGTCGTCGTAGTGCTTCTGCTGCGGCTGGGGCAAGAAGCCCCTCTCCACCATGCGGCGCCGCTCCTCCGTCACCCGCAGCCACATCTGCAGGTTACCGTAGTGGATGGAGCCGTCCAGGTTCTTCTCGCGCAGCAGGAAGCGATAGTCCTCCCCGCTGAAGCGGTTCTCCAGGGCCATGCGGGGCCAGAGCATCATCCTCTGGACGGGGCAGTCCGTGGGGTTCAGAATCCATTCCTCCCCTCCGAACTCCTTCACCTCGGCGAGCACGTAGCATTTGGTCTTGTCCAGCTGGAGCTTGCTGATGAGGTGGTCTATGACCTCGGCAGCCGTAGTGTTTTTGCGGGCTGTGACCGGGCAGTAGATGGTGCCCTCGGCAATGATCCCCGGGTAGATCCGCAGGGTGAACTCGGAGTCCTCGAAGCGTCGTCTCCCTCCAACATCATGCACATTCATATTGGAGCAGCAGTTCCCATCAGCACGCGCAGCGCATCCTTCGAAAGGCCTAGGAGACTGCTTCAAGACATCATAGCTGCGAAGGAGAGAGAGGCGAGACATGAAACATCGGCAAGGGACAGAGATCACGCACCCTAAACACAGAATAAGCTTCCACTATGGGCTGAAACACACTGAGATGTCATGCATGTCCTAGCAGAATGTGGATCTCAACAAAAACAGAGCGCTGTTATATTGTGGATTCCCCAAAAAACAGGTGTTAGTCAGATATTAAAATATAAAAATTTGTTATTTCCAAGAACAAATTTGAGGTCTCTGCCACGCGTCAACATATTGCACTATATGCAACAGGAATGATCAGTTAACGTTTACCACCTCACTGCTAGCGTGTAATAGCTGCCATGTTTCACCCAGATGGATGCTGCATTTTAATGGTGGATGATGTGGGCCTGATCCTATACATAAAGGTAAATGTAAGGAATTACCATCAACATCATCCAACCACCAAGTGACTCAAGAAGGCACACTATCTCAGGAAGGTAAATGCAACACCACAATGTTCAGCAGTTCTGCGATATTTCAAAAGTGTGGCAATTTTGTGCCTTTACTCATATGATTAAAGTTGTGGTTAAGGCACTCGTGAATTTTTTTTCTTATTAATCACTGATCTTTCCTATGAGGTTTGCTACTGAGATGGCCTATAACAGAAAAGATGCACGAAGTCCAGGCAGGTGGAAGCCAGAGGAAGTGACTGACTGACTGCAGGCTGGATGGCATGAGCCGGCCAGTGAGTGAAAGGAAACAGGGATCCAGGGATAACGCACACAGTGCGGGGGCTACTTTCCCAAACTCGACGCAGAGACAGCCTCCCTCGTCCTGTGCCAAGGTTCACAGCTGCCACCTTCCACACGGACGTGTCTCTAATAAAGACACAATATCCTAATTCACTTCTGCCCAGTGGTAAACAAATAGTATCCAGGGGTTACCATTCATGACTGTGACTACAGCACAGAGGAAACAAAACAAACTTCCTTTCTGCTAGTTTAGACCCTCAAAACATGGGAGCTGTTAAATGACGACCATCTGAAGGCAGAGATATCTATCTGTATCTGGCACCAAAAATCACTTCCAAGTTCAATAAATAGCAATTCCTGATTTCACAGCAACAAAAGAATGAACCTCGAAAGGCCTCTGCAACAACAAGACCAACCCTAAAACGAAAGAAATTGCTGAAAGCTGCCATAAGAGTTCTTATCGGCAAGTCTTAGACGTCCCACTAAAGTTTTTAATAACTATGTTCATGAACTGAGCTCTCATTCACGCACGCTCTCTTCCTAAGCTGTCAATTTGTACTTGTCTGGTCTTATCCTTATCCATCATCACAAGCCAATGACTGCCGATCTCCTCTGGCTGCTGGGCCAATGCCAGCTATCTGCTGTCTTCTTCATATTGCAAGGTTCAGTCTATTACAGCACCCTGCGTGGCTAACACTGTGTGTGCAGTTGAAGTTCAGTCTTCCTTTGGTAGTGATAATTATAGCCCACCACTGAGAGCTGGTACAGAGTCATCATACACCAACACACTTCCTACATCTTAACTGAGAGCAACTGAAACAGCCCCTTATTAACTAGAGCATTTTCGTTCAAGGCAGAAACCATACAAAAACATCTCAGGAGAATGTAGCCATAACACAAGCATAAAATGCTTCAACAAATCAGAATTTCAGTCCACACTACCATCATCCAAGCAGTGAACCTCAGTGACTTCTTGAATATTTACCAAGCAAGATAAATAAAGGAGAAAAATCCTCATGCAAATGGTCCTGTTCAAGATGAACATGTTTGATGATTAATTTACAGTGGAATCAGGCCTATCCAGGTGGACAATTGATTATTAATATAAGACTGAACAAGCTGTAATTTAGATCAGGTCTACATTACAATAAGCTAAAGCACTGATTGTTATGCACCACAAATTAAGTAGCTATTCTAATTAGCTAAACTATCTGAACGATTATTAAGATGTGATGTGATGGAAAAAAGTTTCCATATTAATAACGGGTATCTTAAGACCAGAGCATTCCTGATGCTGGATACTAAAATCTATATTTGAACAGTAACAGCTTTTTTGTAGTCTGCGTGGTGAAGCATGTTTGAAATGTGATGTCATTGTTTCTGAGAAAACTGGGATCTGATTTCCTTTACTTGGGAAGAGAAAAGGCTCTCTGGAAAAGATGAAGTGCCAGATTTTCAGAGGTCCTGCCCCAATCACAAGAACTTTCCCTTCTCCCTTCTTTGCTTGCAGATTATAGCAGATAATGCACAATTCACCACTACTGGAAATCTATAGAGGATGCCTGAAGATGACTGGAATTAACAAGACACATAGAACTATAATTCACATGGGTTGATGTTGCTGATCTCATGCTCCAGTGTCTTCTATTCAGTAACATTGAGGACAGCTCCCAGTTGCCTACCAAAGAAGGTAGAAATGTAAAAAATCTTACATTGCTGGATCAAGCTCTCTTAATTCAGGAGAAGATTGAAAACTGTAAACTCTTAAAGCATGACATTCTGAAAACTTTGGTTCATTTATGCTTGCAAAAGACACAAACATACTGTTGCTGAACAAGCAAACACCTTTCTGGACAATCTTCAGTTAATGCAAAACCTCGCCGCATATTATCAAAGCTTAGGCTTGAGCCATATAAGGCACACGTGTATCTGGCAAGACTTGCTGTAAAACACATAGGAGATTTTCACTAGATACAGAAAATGACATCTACGGTTTTGTTCCTGGAAGCAATGGAAACGCATGAATTGTGTCACTGACTTTTAGCCTTAGATATGAAACAACATGAACCATTCCTACAGCTGACCCCTGCCGCCTGCTTGCCTGCGCGCCAGAAGAGAACAAGGCTGCTCAGCAGGAGATAAAGCAGGGGGCTCATGGAATGAGATAATTGACCAGATAATGACCCTTCGGCAGCTGGTTTCTTGACTGATGTCTTGGCGGGTTGGTGGAGGAGGAGCACAGACCCTTGGGGCATACCACTCACGCACCGACATGCCTCATGGACGCACTCTCTAGACCAAAGGGTCCGTCTAACAAAGAATTCTGGTTCTGTTGGACACACACACCGCCACAACGTGACCCACTTAAATGAACAGAATCTTCTAGTTACAATTATTAAAACCGTCCCCCAAACCTATCCGTTCCTAGACACAGTTTAAGGTACTAATAGTTACAAACTGGCCCCCCACTCTCGAGGTTTGGGGGTAATGTCTTTTGCATTTCAGTTACACTGTGCAGAACCTTGTCTTTGTGCCCTTTGTGTTTTCTGTGTTTGCATGTGACTGACAGACAACAAGGTTACATTATCACAATATTACTGGACAACAAGGACTTTTCACGCACAAGGAGAGCTCAAGAAAACAAGATGTTGTTTCTACGGAATCTGGCAGATGTCAGGAAACAAGAATTCAAGATGTCTAAAAACTTTTAAAAATAAGGAAATCAATAGAAGCTATTAACTGTTTCACCTGCCTTCTGTCTTCAAATAAGATGCTTTTTCAGAGGGTACCAGATAAGCTCCTTTCAGTCAGATACCATTTTGACCATTTTGATTAATACTACCTGACTTACAGTTTTTGCTAAACCTATTGGCTTTTTCACTTGTCCCTGATGCAAATCTCCATAAACATCAAGGGAGTAAAAACCTGTCCATCAGTGGAATGTTTCACAAGTATTGTTTAACTAGTTAAAGATTAAAGGGATCGTTTGAAGGTACTATTTAAAGCCTACCCAAAGCCTTAAAGATATCTCCAGAGTGTTGCAATCAAAGATATGCTCCTAGTTAAACATAAGAAATGTAGTACATGGTTATTCAGGGCTCTGAACTGACCAGCTTTGTAGTTATACTAAAAGAAGTCTAACAGGTGCATTCTATAAACTGTACAATTATATCACACAAAGTCACCATTCTAAGTCTGACAATGCACCATTTTCAATGTGGTGGTGATTTAGTGAAGTAAGCTTCAAAAGGCCACATAATCCCTAGGCAGTGATTTAGTGTTAGTACATCATCAAACACCATTCTCCTCAAGATACCTCCACCTTGTATATCATTTGGTAGAAATCCAGATCTTAAATTATAACATCCTCTACTCCTAGCTCTTCAACAGTGCACACACAGACAGAGGTAAAGGTAAGTAGTTGAAGATTCACTTACTTTTGATCTAAAACTCAGTGATAACCTTACTGATATTCATTACTTATTTGCTTGGTTTATCTGTCAAATGAGACCTGAGCAGTTTTGTCCCAATGCAAAGGATTTGTTTCAGCAAACACCAACCCCCTCAAAAAGCAACAAAAAGGGATAGCAGGGAATTGCCTCAAAGGAAATCCATAATGTGGTCTTCTGGGAAGAAACCTTCCAAATCTTGTAATATGCAAGAAGAAATCCAGCGGCTGTCTTGCCATCGTTGGAATTGGAAATTTTACAGAAAATATTTTTCATGTGCACTTATCTTTAATTCCAAAATGTGTCTTCATTTTGAAACCAAAACAGACTTAAACACATTAAAGGTAGCAATATATTTCATTCTTAACACTGAACTTCACACTTCTATATTTTAACACCAATAGAGAAACCCTACCCACAGATACTTTCAGCATTCCGACACTGCTGAATGGCTTTTCTTGTTTTGGGAGATTTACCCGAATAAAAACATTAGGGACACATGGCCAGAGACTACACATTTGTGGCTATAATTACTTCTCAACTGTTAATACGTACATAGCTTATCATTAGAGAAGCTTCCAGCAATGCTGTGATTCAGTGATTCAATAAAGCCTGCCACTCCACTAGATAAAAAAGGAAAAGCTGTTACGTCTTTGCAACAAAATTTGTATTCTGACTTACCCTTTGGTATGTGAAAAAACAAGCTTGGAGAAGTAGACTTAATTTAAACCAAACTACAAAATCCCTTAAAATGGATGTTCAGTGCTCTTTGAGGTTCCATATACAAAAAGATTGATGAAAAAATGTTTTAAAACTGGGGGAAAAAATCCATTACATTGCAACTTTCAGCATCCAAATGGAAGTCCAGTGTGCCTCAACGTGGGCTTGCTTTGTAATAAAGGGCTGTAGACGGAGCTGAAGAATGAATTGTTTTCCAGGACACGTCTGTGTTTTGAAAGGTGCAGCTGGCTATCGGAGCTCAATGGAACTGTAAAGCACTGCGTGCAGACTTCCTTGCCAGTTAACTGACTGGACTACAAATGTTCAGAGTCTCACTCATGTTTGCCAGTCCTCTCCTCCCCACAGAAAGTCAGTCGAACCTCAGGCATGGCAATCCCCAAGACGTGATAGGCTCCAGCCAACTACAGACTTACTGTCCCCATGCGCTGATAAATGACAAATGTCAGAGCAAACGTTGGGCAGCTCCGATTCCGAGACGAAACCACAACAGCTTGTCATTCAGCCCCACTTTCCAGGACTCAAAGAGTTTCCTGCATTGTGATGTGACATTTCACTCTCCACACATCACCAACCCTCTCTCCCCAGAGTCCACGGCGTGGCCAAAGCAGGCTCTCTAAACAACAGCCCATTGGAAAGAGAAATTCCCCCGGCAGTCGCTGGCAAATCACACTCCCACGTCAGTGCACACAACCACTGCCTCCTGTTTTTTGTCGTTCTGAGCCGCGAGACGGACACTCGGTGCCTCCCTCTCTATCTCTTGCTCTCCCTCTCTCACTCACAGCTTTCATTTTGGATGCATGACACAGGGAAGTGGTGGAGATGTGTGGAGTTTGGCAGGGGTGGAGGCGATTGCTTCCTGAAATCTGATCACGAGAGAGAGAGCGAAAAAGGGAGAGTTTGTGTGAGTGAGCAAGAGGATTTCAGAGCCACTCCACCAAGAGCCAGCCCACGGTCAGCAAGCAGCCTATGACAGAACTTCACGGATCACTGGAGCCTCCTACCCAGCAGGATAGGAGGAGGATGACATCAGGACACACTGCACAGCTCCCACCCAGGAGAACCTGGCTCTCCCTGTCAACTCCCTCCCACTGTCAGCTCAACAGGATGCAGCATGACCTGCCAATCAAATCACTGAGCACTCTGTGGTAATAAAGTCAAAAACCTGAACTTGGGGGGAAAGAAAAAAAGTTGCTGGATTGCCTTTTGACTTTCAGATTCTGGGCCTGCCGTGAAAAGCCAGCCATCGTCACTCCCTGTACTGTACCACTGCTTTGGACCCTGCTCTGAGGCAGCTGTGCACACCTCTGTACAAATCCCTGCAGCAAGCCTGGCTCTGAGTGAGCTCAGTGGGCCTGCAGCTTATTTGCATGCTTTTGAATACAACCGTTTTCACTGCGCCATACAAATCAACCACTTCATTTAATTGACATCCCTGTCGAGGCCAACAGCGAAACAATGGCAAAATGAAACAGAAGCATTAAAACTCTTATCTATGGTAAAAGTGGAAAAAATATTGTAAGAAAGGAAATGGCTGAAAGGACGTATGTTGCCATTTTGTAAGGTTTTGATCAAAGGAACCTGTTTACTCTACCTCAGGCAATCTTATCTCCAGAAGCAAAATGAAAATTGATATGTCATAATATTTTAGCATCCCTGGCCATTAATAATAATAATAATAATAATAATAATAATAAACTTTATTTTATATAGCGCCTTTAAAGGTGGCTTCTCAAAGCGCTTTACAGGATGACAATAACAATAAATAAGAAGACTACAACAATAAATAAGAAAATTTCACAA